ATTCTCAGTCAGATTGACTTTATTTTAAACGTCTACACGGCTGACAAAATTTGTAGATACCAAATGATGTATTGCCCTCAATTTTTGGTATCAATTGATGATTTTTCAGCTAGCGAGACACTATCTTCCAAGATTTTACAAAGAAAGCAACTTCTCTTGCCTAGGAGACGAGATTCTTTTCGATTAAAATCGATCTCGAAATCTTTAGAAATTTGACGAAATACATGATTTCATTCTCATAAATTTTCGAAAGTTGTGCAGCATATAATTGAAAAAAGTAAAAGGGGTGCCTCAGCACATGCTAGCCTAATGAATGTGTTGCTCCTGCCTCTACGCTAGAGTTACAAATCATTTACCAAAGATATGATGCACCAGCGTGCGAAATTATTATCAGGTATTGAACATATGCTTAAAACTGTAGACTTGTCCGAAAAGTATCTGATAACATATCTTGGACAAATGTATTTTTAGAGTACCTGCTGCCGTTCGTTTTGCGCAAATTGATGATTTTGCAGATTGAAGGCTCCTTCTGTATGAGAGACTGTGCGTAGACATGGTAAAAAGGATAAAGAATTTCTTAAGAAAAGGCACAGTCTCTATTCCGGAACAAAAGTTTGAAGGAAGATTGGAATACTTTAATAGATAGTTGTAAATTTGAAACCAGTTTTTTTCAAAACAGCCGATTTAACTTTCCATTAAGTTTTAAAGAAGGTTTTACACGAGGGCACGAATTCTCAACAAATTCCGTATAAAGTTTTTTAAAAAGTTGTCAAGATTTTTGGCTCCAATAAGTCATAATTTCTTTTGGGCACAAAATTTCTGGTTGTAACGTACAAAAAGCATGATGCCTATGAGTTTTTAGTTGAATTGCAAAATAAAATAGCTTGCCACCATTAGGGCATTCAGAAAGTATTGTCCTTTATCGTACCTAGAACAGGTAACATAATAAAATATTAACTTGAATATGTGGCACCCATATAGCTGGGTTTTTTACCATCAAAGATTCCAAACGTAAAGGGAATGTTGACGAAATGATTCATAATGAAAACGGTTACTAATTGGCCTTGTCACTCACTATTCACAATATTTGGTTTTATAAAAATCATGGCTGTTATAAATGGGCTGGTTGTAAAATTTTGATTGCCAGCTAAGTTTTTATACCGATTTATCCTCCTTAGGCTCCTGGAGTACTTCTGGGGGTACACATCTTTTGTTTATCATTTATTATCTTTGCCGCTCTCCCTCTTGTGGCCAACACTCTTTTCATTCTCTGCATTTTTGTGCTGGTGTTATCATCTTTCTTGTATTTTCTAATAGATGTTAATATAACGAGAGTAGTCAAAGTGGTCATTATATTCCAGGATATTCCAGGCAGCTGCCCCTCCAGCCTCCCTTGTGTAGGCGCCTCTGGCTACATATGAATAGTTGTTTGGCGCTACTAAATATGAAAATGGCTTTGAAAAAAGCAAATATTTTTAACATACTTAAAGTCTGTTCGTCTAAACCTCTTCAGAGTATAAAACGTCAGAATAAGAGTCAGAAAGAGCAAGATGGAGAGTAAAGACCAACTTCTGGATCGACTTTTTCCATCTTGTTCTTTTAGACCCTTATTCCGACGTTATATGCTCTCAGAAGTTTCATACGAAAAAAAGAGTATGTTTAAAATTTTTGCTTTTTTCAAAGCTATTTTCAAAATAAAATATGTTCTTATCAAGGTTTTCAAAAAATCTTACAGAATTTTCTGATCAAAATTTCGTCTTTAATGAATTTTACAATAACAAAGATCGGAAAACTTAACAATTAATCTTAATTTGAATCTTAATGCTCAACTTGAAAGTGAAACTAAACTTTTATGGAAACGTACTTTAGACAGGAAGTCAATTGATGATTGTAATCATTTTTAGTTTTATTCGAGGATTAGATGCCTTTTGAAGATTTTCAAGTTTTTGAAAAAAATAACTTGGGACAGAGGGCGCACCGGGAAATTCCCCGGTGTCCCGGTGGGCCAGTCCGCTTCTGGTGCTGGCTTGATGCTGGTTGGATTGGCTCAATGTGCATTACACGTCGGATTTACACGCCGAAGGCCAGAGATTACTGTTTGGTGGGAAGTGGGGCCAAAAGCCTCAAATGTAGCATAGTAAATAAACACAAAAAATGTTTAACACAAAATTTGTTAAGTTTACGACTTTTTTTGTTCAAGGTTGAGTCAAAAGATCGTTGTTTTGCCCCCACTCTGCAATTTTTAAGATGGGACGTTAATCTTTGTAAGACTCTTCTTAGGTCGACTTGAAGTGCTTGAAGTCAGAAATGATGATTGTTGTTGTAGTTATTATAGAACGCCACCAACTTTGGCGGCAAGAAAAATTTTAGATTGAACTAGTCTAAGAATGATGAACAGAAACTGCATCTAAAGTTGATTAAAACGGGAGAAAGTTATATATTATATTAATACGAGACAATATTTTTGAGGCAAAAGAATTCGCTGGGCGGGATTAAATCTCGTAGCGGGCCTCGGTTGGCCCGCAAGCCTCAGAAAGGCTGCCACCAATCACAATGCTTCCTTTCATACGAATGATTTTCAATCGGCAAGAACAACGGCCAAGTACGCCGAGATTTATGCAGCGTACAGCCTCATATTTTGTTCAAGATAGCCTCTCTTTGAGGTCAATAAAAACAATTTATGGAGGAGGAGGTCGAATTTTATATCTTCGAATTTGTCAAAATTGGATCATAGAATTGGAATCTTTATGTTGAAATTAGTCTGTGCCGAAATTTCATATTATTTGGGCCGTCAGGCAGCGAATTCTCCTATTTTCAAAGTTTAGCTTTTCCTACATACTTCAATGGAATGTATCTATACATCTATATATCAAATTTTTCACTACAGCACCAAATTCCCGTCAAATCTAAAGAAATATCTAAATATTCAAAACAAATTAAGAGGCCTTTCACATGAGAAATTTCAGGCCGGTTTGAATCTTACGTCGGCCTGAGTTCAATTTGGCGTGTGGTCAAATCCCGTTGAGTGTTCACATGAGTTGGGCGATTTGAAATTCGGGCCGCCCTGAGATTCGGTTTTTCAAACCTGTTTGAAGTTTCAAGCCGGCGTGAAAAGTTCATGTGAACAAGATTTTTTAAATTGGCGGGAACTTAACATGTAAATCATTTCTCTGTGCATCCAGTGTTTTCCAATCTCATTGTCTCTACCTTTTTTTACCCTGAATTGTTTGAGAAACTTCTTGTTACAGCACCTGATTCTTGCATGTGTGAAAACGCAGTATTCATCAATTCATTCCAACCGATTTGAAAAATCAACGTGAACGCGAAGGAAATTAGCTCACCCGAACTGAACTCAGGCCGGCGTGAGTTTCAAATAGGCCTGGGATTTCTCATGTGAAGGACCTCTAACTCGCGACCGAATGATCCAAACAGCATGAAGTTCTCAGTATAAACTAATTTCAAGACGATGATTTCAAATTTTTGAGAAGGGTCTGTAGATAGTGAGATACAGAATCGATGATATCGACCCGGAACGGTGAATGGAGTCGGAGTGTTTCGAACTTTATCAAAACAACAATTACGACTGTATCTCTCAGAATTATTGAATGTTTGTGTTACTGCTTTGTAACAATCCTCTCTTTGAACCACAAATCTACGAACAGCAAAAGTAGGCTGCACATAGGTTTAGCTGTATGCTGTCCTCGTAGGGTAGGCCAATTTTACAATCGTTTGTTGATAAGGAAGGTTATTTGTATTTTGTGATATAGTAAATTTAGAAAGGCTTCAAAATTCCCTTTCAAGTTGCCTAGTGTATTCAAGTATATTTTCCTGAGCGAAAAGTACTAAGCAAAAAGCTGTCGCACGAAACGTTTTTGTCGAAAAATTGTAAGATGGGCAAAAAGGCTAGTACAAGAGTAAAGAACAAGAAACTGTGGAGACCTGCGAATTCCCAAAGTTAGGTTAGAGTATGCAAAGCGAGGCTTCTATTTCTCTGGTGTCAAAAACTGGAATGATATCCCTAACAACATTCGAGGAAAAGAATCCATCGCTCGTTTTAAAACAGGTATTAGAGAGTATCTTTCGAACTTTCCACCGGACCCAAACACGACCCCTTGGTAGAGCAGAAATATGCAAATAGTTCTTTTTTTGTAAATAATTCTTTTTTGCTGAAAGGTATCTCGTGTAAATAAATAAATATTGATTGATTATATTCTGAGCATGCGCTGTTAGTGCAACTGTTGTCGCAGGAGGGGCCGCATTCAGAGAAGAAGCTATGAGGTGTCATGGTGGGCAGCTGCCCTCCAAGATTTTCCAATGACACCCGGTCGGAAGCCAAATATAAGAAAAAATAAAGAACTGTTGGCCCTTTGAAACTGTCAGTTGTGGAATTTACCTTTTTAAAAGAACCAGAAAAGAGAAATTTCTGCTGCAGTGGAAAGCTTAAACGAGAATCGCACAAAATCTTCACAGGTTTTCGCGCGACAGCTTCTCGCTCAGTGGGAAGTAGGCTTTAACCGCCATTATGATTATGTGCAGTTATGTGCTCACTATCTTCAATGCTGCCTTTGGGAAAAGGGCTTGGAATTCATTCCACAAAGTATTAATAGCCGCATGTAATGCCCTACGTGAATATTTTCGACATTCTCTGTCAGCATGTTGCATGAAAGTGTCATGTGTAGCAGCTATTTTGAGCAATTTGTTTATCTGTTACACCGACTGAAAGGATATCATAGTACACTAAGTTAGCAAAACAAGGTTCCGTCGACACGGTGGTGGATATTTTTTAAAACGCCATTATTTTTATCTGTTTTAAAAAAGTCTTTGTCTACACTATGAGGGTCCACACCGAAATAAGAGATGAAGAAACTTTTTTTACGCAAAGATGAACCTTTATTAAGTTTAAAGAATATCTTAGAATATCCAATAAATTTTTGGTTCTTTGAATTTTTTCCTCCTTCTATACCAGCCGTTCTGGTCGTATGAGCCCTCAAGTTGTTGTAGCCTCGGTTCCAGCTTTTCAGCCAACGAACACGGCGGGAATGAACACCATGTTGGATTGCACGACTCGGCCATGGACGAAGGTCGAGATTGCAGTTTCATTCCCTTGTTCTTATCAACCAATCTTGGACACATCTATTTACAATCAGCTTAAACGCAAGCTGCTATAAAGTACGAAGAATGCTGTTCTGGGAGGAATTCAAAAGAGGGCGGTTGCAACACGAACTGGCATCATCATGAAGAAAATCTCAGCAACTTCGTTGCGGTATGTTGCCAACTTCTTTTCTCACCTCATTATCTTTGGCAAATTTGCATTTGTGCAAATTATGGTATTTTTAATGCCAGTGGTTGATTATTAAAAGGGAACCCCAAATGCAGCCTGCAAACTGGCATTCGTGGTTAAGGTTGCCAGGCGGGCGAGGTTCAACCAGCTCACTTAGCAGTGCAAAGCAGCATCACATTTCGACTCTTCCTAACAGTCCCATAATTACTGCATTGAGAGGGAAAATTGGAATAGCAATTTAGGAGGGCCGTTTCTTTACATTAAATGTGTGCTTATACTGCAGCATGCACTGGTCCTAAACTTGATGTTACTGGAAATGGTTGAAATAGAATGTCCAATGTAAGAAAATGAGCTACCACATGTTACAACCTACCTTGCAGCTTAAAAGTCAGCAGTTACATTAATGTTTTTAGTTACTAAGAAAGTTTCTTTTACCAATTTTGTATATATTTAGCTGTAATAACTAAATTTTGTCATTGGCTAGCAGTTTGATTCTTGAAAGACAACATATTCACTGAGGTTACACTTTTACCCCTGCAAAAACCCAAGCATGGTTCACAGGCTAACCATAGTTTGCAATGGTCCTACCATGGTTGAACCATGATTCTGACAAGTTCTGACCATGGCTAATGACAATGGTTGATCAATGAAATAAGATTTTGCCTGCAAAGAACTTAACTTGTTTGTTCTTTGAGAATGTTGATTCTGGACTGTGTAAGAAGTTACCCTGAATAGAAAGAAAAGAAAAAAGAACAATTGTCTGTATTTGCTATCATTTTACCATGGATGACCAGGTCAAAACCTGATCATTGCTGTCCCATTGCTGAACCATGGTTCATTTCTCAACTGACTTTTCATATAATGGCAAATTAATTTTACATTGAATAGTTTTGATTTCACCAATTTTCTTTTGGAGACACATTTCCTTGTCCCTTAAGTCCTAAAACATTAATTTTTTTATCAATTTGAAATGTTTTATGAGTATTTTGTCTGACAATTGCTGACGCATTGCTGAATCATGGTCAATTTCTCAACTGACATTTTCTAAAGTGGCAAATTACTTTTACATTGAATAGTTTGTTTGACTATTTTTGTGTGGTTTGGTTTCACTATTTTTTTGTGGATTTATTTTACTGTTTTTTGGCCATAAAGCATTTATTTCTATGAATTTGAAATGGTCAATGAGAATATGGACCAACTATTGCTGACCCACTGGTAAACTGTGGTCCATTTTTTAACTGACAGGTTCCTCATCCTGCTTTCTCGAAAACTGCTGGCTGCCTTTGAATATCATTAAATTTTAAATTTTAATGGTTTTAGAAATATATTGAAAATAGATTTTCACATGATATATATATTTATATAATCAAAGATATATACTTGAGATTTTCATCAGATTTGCAAGAATATCAATCTCTGAGAAATATCTGATGAAAGCAACTGACAAGGTACCAGGGTCACAAGAGTGGATTCTTGGGTTTTTTCTCAGATAAATTCTCATTTCTATAACATGGTACAAACAAGCATATCAATTCAAGATTGTCAGCAAATTGGAATATTCTATTGAAGTGCTGCTGTACAATTGCTCTAACAGTTCTTTGTGGTATCTTATGGATGCATTACCATTGAAGCCAGGTTTTAAATTCAGAATAAAAAAGTCTTGCCAGTTTCATTCTTAGCCAACAAAACAAACTTATCTCAAATAAAAGGAAATCAGGCCTCTCGGTTTCTGGCATGTGATTGCGTGCCATGCACCTGTAGTGGTGCCAAGGCACACATGGATGTGATACACAACTAGCAATATTGTCCACCTCATCCATTTGCATTTACAATTACTATTTTATCTGCAACATTGTCTTGTTGCTCTGTGGAATCATTTTTAAAGTACAGCCTTCACCATCTAGGCAATCCCTTGACACTATATAAATAATAAACACTGGAAAAATTTTTGTGTTGTTTGTGTGTGATAAAGGATTCACTTTCAATCACTGTTACCCCATGAGCCACACACCTACTAAAATCGTTGCGGAGAGGCCTGCGATCCTTGTTTTTCTTCCCAGTGTACCTATTAGAGGCCACATGGTGTTCAGAACGTACATTGAGGCTTTTAGGCTGTTTCGAGTAAAAAAATTTTTGAACAATTTCAAATTTTTTGAACTTTTTAGCAGGTCACTAAATCACTGAGTCCTTATTTTGTAAATATGTGCATAATATTCACTGAAACTACCCAAAATGGTGTTCTGAACATAAATTAAGGCTTTAAACATTATTTCTAGAAATATTTTTTTTACAAAGTTCACATATTTTGAGATTTTTTCAAGTTTCAATGTGAAACATGCTATAAATACTTTTTCCTACCATTTTCAGATACCACTTGGAGGCTCAACCAAATGTCTAGAAATGATTTCAGAAAGGTAAAATTTTAAGCTTTATATTGTTTCACGTAAAAATTTTTTTTGAAAAAAGTTAAATATTTTTAACTTTTTGCAGGTCCGGGGGTCATGAATTTTTCAAAAAATCACCAAGTCCTTATTTTGAAAAAATCAGCATAAATTTCACAGAAACTACCAGAAATGGCGTTCAAAACGTATCTGGAGGCTTTTTAGGTTGTTTTGTGTGAAAACTTTTTTGAGAAATTTCAAGATTTGTCAACCTTTTTGGAGGCCCGGGTCATGAACTTTTTTCAAAAATCACTAAGCCCTTATTTTGTAAATATGTGCATAATATTCGCTGAAACTACCCGAAATGGTGTTCCAAACATAATTTAAGGCTTTTGACGTTATTTCTAGAAATATTTTTTTTACAAAGTTCACATATTTTGAGTTTTTTCAAGTTTCAGTGTGAAACATGCTATAAATACTCTTTCCTACCATTTTCAGATACCACTTGGAGGCTCAACCAAATGTCTAGAAATGATTTCAGAAAGGTAAAATTTTAAGCTTTATTTTGTTTTACGTAAAAATTTTTTTGAAAAAATTTAAATATTTTTAACTTTTTGCAGGTACGGGGGTCATGAATTTTTTAAAAAATCACCAAGTCCTTCTTTTGAAAAAATCAGCATAAATTTCACAGAAACTAACAGAAATGGCGTTCAAAACGTATCTTGAGGCTTTTTAGGTTGTTTTGTGTCAAAAAATTTTTTTTAGAAATTTCAAGATTTATCAACCTTTTTGCAGGTGTGGGGTCAGAAATTTTTCAAAAATCACCAACTCCTTATTTTCAAAAAATCAACATAAATTTAACCGAAACGACCCGAAATGGCGTTCAGAAAGTATCTTGAGGCTTTTTAGGTTGTTTCGAGTAAAAAAAATTTTTTTAAAAGTTTCAAGATTTTTCAACTCTTTTGCAGGTCCGGGGTCATGAATTTTTTCAAAAATCACAAAGTCCTTTTTTTCAAAAAATCAGCATAAATTTCACCGAAACGACCTGAAATGGCGTTCAGAACGTATCTTGAGGCTTTTTAGGTTGTTTCGAATAAAAAATTTTTTTTGAAAAATTTCAAGATTTTTCAACTTTTTTGCAGGTCCGGGGTGATGAATTTTTTCAAAAATCACCAACTCCCTTTTTTCACAAAATCAGCATAAATTTAACCGAAACGACCCGAAATGGCGTTCAGAACGTATCTTGAGGCTTTTTAGGTTGTTTCAAGTAAAAACATTTTTTTGAAAAATTTCAAGATTTTTCAACTTTTTTGCAGGTCCGGGGTCATGAATTTTTTCAAAAATCACCAAATCCTTATTTTCCTAAAATCATCATAAATTTCACCGAAAAGACCCGAAATGGCGTTCAGAACGTATCTTGAGGCTTTTTAGGTTGTTTGGAGTAAAAAAAACTTTTGAAAAATTTTAAGAATTTTCAACTTTTTTGCAGGTCCGGGGTCATGAATTTTTTCAAAAATCACCAACTTCTTATTTTCGAAAATCAGCATAAATTTAACCGAAACGACCTGAAATGGCGTTCAGAACGTATCGGGTCATGAATTTTTTCAAAAATCACAAAGTCCTTATTTTCCTAAAATCAGCATCAACTTCACCAAAAAGACCCGAAATGGTGTTCAGAACGTATCTTTCGGCTTTTTAGGTTGTTTCGAGTAAAAAAAAATTTTTGAAAAATTTCAAGATTTTTCAACTTTTTTGCAGGTCCGGGGTCATGAATTTTTTCAAAAATCACAAAGTCCTTTTTTTCCTAAAATCAGCATCAACTTCACCAAAAAGACCCGAAATGGTGTTCAGAACGTATCGGGTCATGAATTTTTTCAAAAATCACAAAGTCCTTATTTTCCTAAAATCAGCATCAACTTCACCAAAAAGACCCGAAATGGTGTTCAGAAAGTATCTTGCGGCTTTTTAGGTTGTTTCGGGTAAAAAAATATTTTTGAAAAATTTCAAGATTTTTCAACTTTTTTGCAGGTCCGGGGTCATGAATTTTTTCAAAAATCACCAACTCCTTATTTTCCTAAAATCAGCATAAATTTCACCGAAAAGACCCGAAATGGTGTTCAGAACGTATCTTGAGGCTTTTTAGGTTGTTTGGAGTAAAAAAAACTTTTGAAAAATTTTAAGAATTTTCAACTTTTTTGCAGGTCCGGGGTCATGAATTTTTTCAAAAATCACAAAGTCCTTATTTTCCTAAAATCAGCATCAACTTCACCAAAAAGACCCGAAATGGTGTTCAGAACGTATCGGGTCATGAATTTTTTCAAAAATCACAAAGTCCTTATTTTCCTAAAATCAGCATCAACTTCACCAAAAAGACCCGAAATGGTGTTCAGAACGTATCTTGAGGCTTTTTAGGTTGTTTGGAGTAAAAAAAACTTTTCAAAAATTTTAAGAATTTTCAACTTTTTTGCAGGTCCGGGGTCATGAATTTTTTCAAAAATCACAAAGTCGTTAATTTCCTAAAATCAGCATCAACTTCACCAAAAAGACCCGAAATGGTGTTCAGAACATATCTTCTGGCTTTTTAGGTTGTTTCGGGTAAAAAAAAATTTTTGAAAAATTTCAAGATTTTTCAACTTTTTTGCAGGTCCGGGGTCATGAATTTTTTCAAAAATCACCAACTCCTTATTTTCCTAAAATCAGCATAAATTTCACCGAAAAGACCCGAAATGGTGTTCAGAACGTATCTTGAGGCTTTTTAGGTTGTTTGGAGTAAAAAAAACTTTTGAAAAATTTTAAGAATTTTCAACTTTTTTGCAGGTCCGGGGTCATG